AAGATAGAAGCTTGAAGACGTTTAAGGTAAATTTTAAACATTTTTTCGTAAGTCAATACATTTTCTGTAAGACCAATTAAAACTCTTGACTGTACACGCAAAATTAACTTGGAATAAACTGATAATCAGTATTGTACAAATGAAAGCAAGTATAACATAAATTCAATTAAGAAACCTTTCAATTTGGGACAGTTTTTTGATTGGTTACCCCCCAAAGATGCAAGGCATTATGGGGATGTGAAGGTAGAGAATAGCTAAAATCCTGTAGAATGCCAGCCACAATGGCGGATTTGATCACGTGACCTTTTAGTGCAAGTCGACAAACTGCTTTTCGTAAAAAGTTGAAATATAAGATTAAAAAAAAACCCTATTCTTGTTCACTACTTATAGATACATCTTTGACTACATACTTTTTTGTTGTTGTTGGGCTTAAATTTGTCCCAAAGCGATGTTCTTTCTGTGCATTTGAGAGCCGGGTTTGGGGGTAGTTTTGCTTTGGCATCAAACGGGTCCCCGGAATCCCTGTGTTGTGTACACGTACGTTACGGACGTAAGGAAGTCGATGGGTCACCAATTTTTTTAAAGTATGATGCTCCGTGCGGGAGCTCCGCTACTAGTTACGTTTGTATTACTACCCCCCACGCTTTTAAGATTTCTTAAAACGTGTCGGTATAATAAGGTTACTGTCTCCTTTGGAAATCTTTCCAGTATCAAAATTTTCTTCAATGTTCTCTATACTTGAGCGGTATAATGTTGCTGTAACTATCGGTCTCATTACAAGTCCCTTCTCATTCCCCACCCACGCCCTTTTTATTGGCCAGTATATTAATCTTAATTATGAATCTAAGTTCTTTGATCATTTTCATTATTTCTCATTCAGAAATGGACTATGGTTAGTTATAAAAAGTTTCTGGCCCTTAGCAAGAACAGCAGTCAAACAGGAGTGGTTTGGCGCCCGTTGTATGTTTTCTTACCGGAAAAGGTAACTAAATCAACTGCTAGCTTAGTTTGATTTGCACTCGAAGCGCTATGTCATGGCATCTTCGCGATAAACGTTTGAGGCGACTTCGAGTATGGATCCAAAATTTCATCAAAATGATTACCCTAAAAAATGTCTTGAATTGTGACAGATGGAAGAAACACCTGAGCAAATTCAAAGGATAAAGGACATGTCCATTATACCAACATTCAAGCATTCCACCAACTTCATCAAACAGATTGGTAATTCAATTCAATTCAATTTTAATTTATTTACAGTTTTTCTTTTGTTTTTTGTTTCCTCAATTTTACTGATAATCAGATAGAATTACAAGACAGCCAAAGGAGCTAAAGCTTTCTAGTTGGCTGTCGTAGTTTTCATTCAAGGTCAAAGAAGAAATCAAACCGCCATTTGGCGAACTCGTGGATACTAGTTGACGTTACAGAGATTGGGCTTCCTGTGTTCTTATACTTGTTGACATTCGAAGGTTTCAAAGTATTTCCCTCAATTTCATATTTTAAATACTCAATTTAGCTGGTAGGATGATAAGTTGTCCTTTTATTTTACTTTTAACACCTACTTTGAAATACTAGTACTATCTAATTTGTCTCCATTCAAGTCTGTAAATTACGGATTATTTATTGGAGCGAATTTTCGTTAGTTGTCTCGAGCAACATCTATAATTGTGTAGATCATTGATTCGGCGACCAATCTACTTTTTATTCATAACGGCTTATTTGGATGACAAAACTGGCCGAATGTTCTTCAAGATTCCATCGGAATTGTTCAAAATTTCGTCTTTTGCTGATCTTTCTACGATCTACATCCACATTGATTATTTAAGAAATCACTTTAAGTAAACAACTGTTCTAATAAAACTTCGCTCGAGCGAAGTTTTAAGATTTTTTTTTGCTGAATATCGCCGTGACTTCCACCTTTCTCTAATAAGAATAAATTCCTCCAAAGCTTGAAATCTGAATCTCGTTTTGAATTCTAATGAAAAGTGATTTTTTTTCGATGCATCCGGCTCGACCCACGAGTCTTATGAAAAAATCTAAATATGTTGACGAATGTACATAAGCGTTTCTGTTTGCTTTAATACAACAGCAAAAAAAGGTTTAACTCATTGAATTTTTAGTTCAGGCTTTAATTGTACTATTTTACTTCAACTTGCATCTTTTCTTGAATCTTTAAATATAATTATTCCGAAGAGATACCTATGTGCGAGTGTGCGCATGCACAGTGGGTCCACAGTGCTAAAAATATCCCACATGTTTCATCAGCACTTCATTTCCTCATATAAATACCCAATGTAGTCTATACTGTATAAGAGTTTCGTACTTGTGACGTGTAACGTTCGTAATCAGTTGACGTAAGACGATCGCTAAACGTTTAAATTGCCCACCTCCGAGATATGCTTCGATTGTCACGCACAAAGGTTTCAGTATGAGGCTACGTGCTAAATTAAATTAATTCTTACCGCCTGTTACGAATGACTAAGCATTTAGCACGTAGCCTCATACTGAAACCATTGTGTGTGACAAGCGAAGCATATCTCGGAAGTAGGCTATTTCGATAGCTAGTGAGCGAGTGAGCGAGTGACACATTTGCATATTCAGACCACTCTCAATAACTCGTTTCTACACTTCGCGTATCCACGAGTTAAAAAGGAAAAAAAAAACTACAAGGCTATAATATTATATAGTATTAAATTCAACAGTAGAGTGCAAATAATATACCCGTGAAATAGATAGCTAGCTAACTAATTACKAACTTTSTGCTATTGGTTGCCTAAGTCTAATTAGTCAAAGAAATAGGCGAGCCGTGACGGGTGAACTAGTGCACGTGTGCTACTCAAGGGCGCGCATTTTTAAATATTTTTAWGCACGCCTGCAAAAACTGAAACAATATTTTATTGTACATGCTTTTCCTTCGTATAATTTGACATGTTCGCATTTTCGAATTCGTATCTGTTAAACAACAAGTGGAGCTTGATTCATGTTTTATGACTTGATATTCAGCTGACGACTGTATAATCTTCAAATTGTCTAGTGTTTAAGTCATTGCTTTTTCGTTCTTAAAGCTAAATTACAAACGACGATGGTTTTTCTTCATTAATTGTCCACACTGCGGGCAGAAGCAAAAGTGGCGTTCTACGAAGCTCAAACAAGTAG